CAAATAATTAACAAAATTTTTTTGTTATTGTTATTTTTTTGTGATTAAAGAAAAGTCCTTATTTTTCATGACGGGCATAACTCCTCACTGGAACAGAATCCGAAAATTCCAACGGTGTTAGTACATGTTTGGCTATCCTATGAACTAGGATTATTGGTTTCGTTCAAAAATTAACGAAATGGCGGATGTTTGAAAAAAGTTTTTTGGAAAATCGCCTATTTTTGTTTGTGGTCAATGCGTTAAGTTCGGCCGGGCCGAACTTTGGATACCACCCACTATAGATATATTGACAGATACTTGAAATGAAAATATAGGGAACATAGCAAAAAGTGGACAGAAAATTTAGATTTTATCCAAACATTGCCCATCTTATTATTTCTTCCAAACTTAGTTCAAATTTGAAGATGGGGAATATCGGTCCACTGCTTCTGCAACCTCCACACAGGGGCTAGGTCTACATGCGGCTATAATTCATTATCGAACCTTACGTTCTAATTTTTTTTATCTCGCTATCCTCCGCAGGTGAAATGTTTACAACAGAGTCTAGAAACAAACTCAAAACGCGGAACAAAAAGGGATCGAATATTAATATTTTTGGTAAGGAGATTTGTTACCATATACAATTTGGTTGAAAAACGCGGTCAATAACCCCAAAATACCGAAAATCGGGGGTACCCTTATATGGGGGCTATCCGGAAAAAATTACCTATATTTATATTTTTTGTGCAAAGATTTGGTACCTATTAAGAACTCAAAATACTAAATTACAGCTAATTCGGCGGAAAAATACGATCAAAACCCCCAAAATACTGAAAATTATGAGGTACCGTTATATGGGGCTACCAGAAAAAGTAGACCTATATTTATATTTTTTGTGGAGACATTAAGTACCCAATAAGTTGGTAACGCGCTCAAGTTGGTTGGAAAACGCGCTCAAGAACCCCAAAATATTGGGAGGTACCCTTATATGGGAGCTATGCCTAAACGTGAACCGAAGAGCCATCTTCGAACTTGACCTGCCTGCAGCCAATCGACTACTCTATGCTAAATTTGGGCGATCTATCTCAATTCGTTTAGACGCTAGAGTGATTACAACAGACAGACAGACATGGCTATATCGTCATAGGATTTTACGCTGATCAAGAATACTTTATAGGGTCGGAAATGATTATTTCGATGAGTTACAAACGGAAAAACAAAATTAATATACCCGCCATACTATGGTGGAGGGTATAAAAATAAGGAAAACCTACACCGGTTGGATTTATCCTAGTTCATACGATATCTATGCACTCACAAAGAAACGCCCCAAAATTCGGAAACCATTATTAGTTTTTGAGCTATCGTGCTCGCAATTTTATAATGTCCCTATAAATTAGTGAATTAGTGTAGGTTCGATATAAATATAATAACAAAATTAAATTTTTTTAAACCGAAAATGTGGGGGGGGGGGTCCCCTTAAAGGATAAACAAATTAATTGACAAAGTTGTTTCTTCTAATTAAAGAAACGATCTTATTTTCGATGGCGAGCATGATTTCCGACTGGAACATCCAAATAACAAAAATTTCAAATTTCAATTTCAAAAACATCGCATAAAAATTTGAAAAATGGATGATCTTTGTCTTAATTATGAATTAAGGATGTGCAGATGAGATTATCTGCACAATATAGGCCGCACCAAGTATTATCACATCTTTCAATATGATCCTTAAGTACTTTATCAATTATCTAAGAAATTAATAAAATACAAAAACCTTAGACATACAAACCTTTATGCTGCAAATAAATGTACACATATAAATAAAACAACTCAATTCAATTGATTTATTAATAATTTGTTTTATATATATTTCTGGCTATTCAACAAATTTACATATTGTCAGCTCTTTAAATGCAGTGAATATTATTGTTTGTTTTTCAAAGACTGAATATTCAAAATATATTACTTGAGGGAAAGCCCAAAGCCAAGGCTTCGTCTCTCTAGTGGACACTGACCTCCCCGCGTTGTCACCTGGGGTAGCTACTTTCATTATCCGTTGAAGTAATTAGCTGTCATGTGTTAACCCATAAGCACCACAAAAATGGGTTGAGGCGTCCGGTTAGTTGCCCACACTTGGAAAACCCCTCCTACTATAAAAAACCAACAAAAAAGAAAACCAACAAAGGTGCGATCTAATGTAACGCGGAAACTTGAAGTCGAAAAGCTGCAAATACAACAGATAGCAGAAGCCTAATCCGCTCAACTTAAACACTTGCTTGACGAAAGCACTCCTTGTCTTGATAATATTATAGCAAATGAAACATTTGGGTACCAAAGACCACCATCAAGAAACCCGTGGTACGATCAGGAGTGCCGTAATGCTACTGAGGCGAATAACGCAGCGTATAGAGCAACCCTGCAAACAATAGCAACAACAATGCGATTGAGAATTATCGGGAGAGAAGGAGAAAATTATTTTCAGAAAAAAAGAACAAGACAAAAGTGAGCACATCGAAATGTACAGGAGTCCGAATGAAGTCCGGAAATTTTATCATCGAGTAAAACACCAAACCGAAGGCTTTGGTGCATGAACATCCTCCTGTAGAGATGAAGAAGGAAACCTTGTGACAGACACAGTTTTTGTTGTTGCCAAAAGTCGATTTGTTGTAAAAAGTCGGTACATTTTTTTTTTACTGTATGACATGTCTTCAGTCAATTAGAAGTTAAATAGGTATATAAAGTACAAATGAAGTCATTTTTTCCACGACAGAGGGGTCTACGATCCGAAACGACCCGAGTTATACTCGGCCAACGTCTGTCACCTCAGCCCATTGTGTAAAAGCAATATGGCTGTTACAACAACAACAAATGGAGTATGATGGAGTTAAATGTGAAGCCCGATTTCGGAAATTAATATCTAAGAATCCCAAATCCATTTGTAAAATTTGGAGAATGAATAACACATGAACTAACTAGACTCTAGACCAATTATCCCCCACTGTGTTTCAACAACTAATGTGGAACAGACACAACATTGTCATAGACCGCAAACGAAGGAAAATAAATGGTTTAATTAGCTAACTAGCCTGGGATCATTTAAAATATGGAAAATAAATCTTGAGAAACCCACAAGGAGAGATGCAATGCGTTTTACTCATGCAAGATTAAAAACTGAAATTATATACTAGCTGTATATGTTTATTATTCTGACCTATGGATATGCTGTTTGGTGGCAGGCTCTTGATAAACGAACGTTCTTCAATATTAATCGTATGCAACGGTCAGCATGGCTCTGTATAACAGGGGCTCTCAGTGGTACAACCCAGACGGCATTGAACGTGATGCTAAATTTCCAGCCACTGGACCTTTAAGTCAGGTTAAAGGCAGCAAAGTATGTCTTAAAGCTATAATATACATCACAGGAAAATATCGTATAAAAATGCAAAGTTTTGTCAAATATCTGATCGTAAAGCCATAATTATAAAATTCGTACGCATTTCAATTACACAAACCCAATTGTTATACCATTTAATTATATAAAAAAGTGAACAAATCATATGCTTATATAAAAAATAATTTATTATATTCCAAAAACAATTGTACAATTAATACTTTTTTTATTTGCCATTTGACTCATATGGGATTATTAATATAAAAGAACATAAATAAATATATAGATTTTAATAGTAAAATAAAATAAAACTTGTTTTAAAAGTCATTTTCAATAATAAAAAAAAACTAAAAACAGAATCCATTATTTAATTTTTTTTTTTTTTTTTTTTGAAAAATCCAATTTTAGAAATAACAATATTTAATATCATGCCAAATGTGTGTGTGGAGAAGTATTTTGAAAATAGTATAGAAGAAAAAACCCATGGTCTTTGTGAATATTTTTCTCAGAGATTAAAGAATTCTTGTAATAATAATTATTGTTATTATTTTGTTTTAATATCATATCTAAAGGTATATTACTATCATGCAATAACAATAGCCATGTTGTTATAAATAACTATTATTTTGTGGTTTTTATTTTTATTTTATTTTTTTTTTGTAATTTTACATTATAATCTTTTTTATTTTTTATATATAAATATTTAGGAAATAACATGAAAAAAGTTACATTTCAACTTACAAATATTAATATTGGAAATATACTATATGCAGATATATATATAAACATTTTTCTTTGTTTTAATTTTTATTATTGGTAGTAAAATGTTTTTAGTTTTTCTTTTTTTCTTTTGATAAATCGTATTTTTTTTTGTTTGTTTGTCTGTTTGTATAAATCGTATAAACTGTTTGTTGCAAAAAACATTTATTAAACATTTAATAAATATGTATTTTCATTACAATTATGTATTGATTTTTGTATACTATATATATTTTTTTATTTATTATTTCAAATAAATATTGTTGTATATATTTATTAATATGTATACAATTTGTTTTCTTATGTGTATATATAATTGTTTTTTTTTATTTTTTTATTTAATACATAGTATTTATGTATAAATATATAGAAAAAATGTAACATGATTTTATATATATGTATGTATTTGCTTATATTTATATATTTATTTTTATTTTTTGTGTATAAAGTATATAATAAAAATAAAGTAATTCTCATAATGAGCCTGTCTGTGTCTTGTCACAAAAATGTTAGTAAAAATTAATAATAATAATAAAAACTAAAGAAACAAAAAATAATAACAAAACAAAAATAAAATTAAAAAACTTATATTCTTAAATAACTATGTTGTTAATTGATTCATTTCTTTTTAGGTTTAGATCAGTTTTTAACAATTTCGTTTATTTTTGTTTTATATGAATTTTTTTTCATACTTAGCTTTTTGGTTAGTTTTTTTTCTTTTCTTTTTGTTTTTTGTCTATCTATTAAATTTGTTTAAAACTTAATAATAATACACATGTATATATATATATATATATACGTACACAACAAGTTGAGGTCGCCGTTTTCGCTTGAATATTTTCCTTGGAAATTTTGTTTTTTTTTTTCATTTCTTTATTAATTTTTCGGCGATACTGTTATAAGTTTGTGGGGCGTAACCGGTGATATCTGCAAAGGGGAAAAAGGGTAGAAAATTAATATTTGTTGTAAAAAAGAAAAACAAGTAAAGGCGTCGTTAGGGCAGGGCCGAGCCCTTTAAATGCAAATAGTCGGGCTACCATTTATTTAAATCAATTTACATATATGGGGTACCCCAATAGACACTTTCTAATGGAGGATGCATTTGAAAAAATGCCGTCAGATCAGATCGCTGAAAATACGACATTGGCTTTTGTATGAGGTGTATATCAAAACTTGGATCTACATTGAACAATTTCTTTAATTCTTGCGAAACTGAACGGTCAAATGATAGAACCTAAAACAAATGATACCCGAAGTTCTAATTATAGCTTTATCGATTTCAAAACATAAACCAGTAAGGAAAGTTCAAAAGTTGGACGGGACCGACTATATGATACCCTTCACCACCACTTTAGGTACTTACAAAGATGCTAATATATACAATATCCTATAGATAGAACAGAAATGTCATCTTTGGAGGTCCTTTGAAATGGAATCGGGCCTAAATTAAATGAGTGATCTACATAGATATTTTAATCTATTGAAAATCCCCATATGTGTTTTGTATAATCTCCACCATTTATTTATGAAAAATTCCATGTCAACCGGGGAGTTCTTTGGGTTCTTTGGTGTACCATTTGTACGAAACCGACCAAAATTATGTATGTAAATTTGGATCTAATTGAACTCGGTCGGACAAATATTGGGAGTTTGGTGTATCATTTACCTATAATCGGACGAAACTATATATGGGAGCTATATCTAAAACTGAACCGATTTCCACAAAACTTCGCATACATCAATATGTATCTATTTCAGTGCGTTGTGCAAACTTTTGCCTTAATCGGACAAATATTGGGAGTTTGGTGCACCATTTACATAAAATCAGACGAAACTATATATGGGAGCTATATCTAAATCTGAACCAATTTCGCCAATACTTCACATACATAAAACTGGACCTTATTCAGTGCGCTGTGCAAAATTCTCTCTTAATCGGCCTAAATTTGACTATATGGTGCACCATTTACATAAAATCGGAAGAAACTATATATGGGAGCTATATCTAAAACTGAACCAATTTCACCAAAACTTCACATACATATAACTGGACCTAATTCAGTGCGTTGTGCAAACTTTTGCCTTAATCGGACAAATATTGGGAGTGTGGTGCACCATTTACATAAAATCGGAAGAAACTACATATGGGAGCTATATCAAAATCTGAACCAATTTCAACAAAACTTCACAGACATTAAAGTGGACTTAATTCAGTACGCTGTGCAAAATTTTGTCTCGATCGGACAGATGTTGGGGCTTTGGTGCACCACTTAGATAAAATCGGATGAAACTATATATGGGGGCTAGCCAGAAACAATGGGTCAATATTAATAATTTTTAGTACAGAGATGTACAATTCAATGAGATCACAAAATGCCAAATTACAGACGTTTTGATTGAAAACGTATCAAAAATACTGAAATTTGACGGTGCCGTTATATGGGAGGTACCCTGAAACTTAAGTCAATATTAATAATTTTTGGCAAGGAGTTGTGTTATATTATGAGAACCCAAAATACCAAATTACAGCCAATTCGGTTGAGAAACGTGTCCCAAATCCCTAAAATAATGAATATTAGGGGGTAGTGTTATATGGGGGCTATCCCGAAACTTGAGTCTATATTAATAATTTTTGACGCAGATATGTGTAAAATAATGAGAACCCAAAATGCCAAATTACAGCCAATTTGGTTAAAAAACGTGTCCATATTCCCCAAAATAGCGAATATTGGAGGGTATCGTTGTATGGGGGCCACCCTGAAACTTGGGTCAATATTAATAAGTTTTGGTACGGAGATGTACTATACAATGAGAACCCAAAATACCAAATTACAAACAATTCGGTTGATTAACGTGTATGAAATCCCCTAAATTCTGAATATTGAGGGGTACCGTTATATGGGGGCTACCCTGAAATTTGATTCAATATTCATCATTTTTGGCAAGGAAATACAGAATAATGGGAGGTACCGCTATATGAGGGCTACACTGAAACTGGGATCAAATTTAATCATTTTTGGCGAGCATATTGGTTATACAATGACAACACAAAATACCAAATTACAGCCAATTTGATTAAAATACTTGTCCAAAATCCCCAAAATGTTAAATATTTCGGCGTACTGTTTGGCTATACCAAAACGTGGGCCGATATATTCCATTTGCAATACCAAACATTCTAGGAGCACGAGCAATGTCTGTGTAAAATTTCAGAGCTCTATCTTAAATATAACGATCAATATTGTGATTTCAACAGACGCAAAGACGAAAATCGTTCGGCACCCTATGAACTTATATTTAAAGTTATCTACCAAGGAATTTTAACCCTTTGGTAACGCAAAATAATAATATTCAGACACTTAGGTTGAAATTTCCGCCAGCACCATTGACATATCGAAATAAAAACGTGAGCATTTTATGGGGGTTATGTCAAAATATTGATCGCATATTTTATTCGAAAAAGTTCTGAGACCACATATAACCTGAAATGCCAAATTACAAATAATCTAAAATCTGACGAAACTTTTCGAAGGTGGCTATGTCAAAACATCGACCTATATTGCAAATTTTCTGCAAAAACTTGTTGTCCTCCAATAAACCGGAATGGGAATTTTGAGTAAAACCTATAACCTGAAATGCCAAATTACAATTAATCTAAAATCTAACGAAACTTTTCGAAGGTGGCTATGTCAAAACATCGACCTATATTGCAAATTTTCTGCAAAGACTTGATGTCCTCCAATAAACCGGAATGGGAATGTTGACTAAAACCTAAAAAAATACGGTGGTTATATTTATATAAGCCTATACCATAACTTATTCTGATATATAGAATTTTCAATACCAATAATAGGAGTAGTAGCAATGTATGTGCAAAATTTCAAAGCTCTATCTTTAATATGACCCTTCAAAATCTGAGAATAATAAATTTAAACCGAAAACAAATTTATAATATGGCGGAATCGTTGTATGGCCAACGAACTACGCTATTTATTGAGGTTTAGGCTTAAGATGGCAGGCAGCGAAATGAATTCCAGTTATGGATCATAATTTTAAAATAATATGCACTAAGGTAGTAATTTTCGATACCCTCAAAAATATGAACTGCATGAGATTATTGCGTTTGAAGTAGTTGACAGGGATTCTGTGTGGGATCCCAATATGATTTGAATAGCGAAGCTAAACCAAAGCCCTATAAAAATCCGCAAAAGAACAATTTTCAAAATGTCATGATGAAAACAGCACTAGAACGTGCTGGTAAAAAGGTCCTACAAACGGCTGAACAAATTTAGAGAGATCAGTGATAATATACTTCTCAGTCCGATCCCTAACCAATTTTTTAAGGTTCGTTCTTATAAGAATGAGTCCTTTTCCCGAGATATAATTTTTGTTTCTATGAACGCCCCTATTGAAATAATGAATTTTCCTTCTAAACACCATTATCTACAATCTTTCTTTGGCATGTGCCAGTTAGCCACTAATTTTTCTTCTAGAGTTTCAATTTGTAACCCCTTTCCTCTCGATTACTTTCGTGAAATTTTAGCCTTCAATCTATAGAGAAATTTTAATCACATTTACAAATATTTCCATTTAACTTACCCACAACGATCGACTGCCCATAAATGTTGACGAATCATCATCATCCTCCATTAGACTGTGATGATGCCGGTGATGATGATGATGGTGGTGGTGGTGATGATGGTGGTTGTGATGCTGTTGTTGATCCAAAAACAATAGCGTATCCTTGCTGCAAGTATTCACCGAATTGCGCAATACCGATGACAAAGTATCACTACATTCACGTAGACGATAATTTGATGCCGTCGAAAAGGAATGACGCAAATGCAACGAAGGGTGAGTTGTGTTATTTGCTCCGCCTGTGGAAGTACTACTACTGCTCGGATATATGGCATTTTCGACAGCCGAAACACTTGAACGACTACCATGCCATGGTTGGCGATACGTTTGAAAATGTCCCGCTAAGGCGGAGCTAATAATACTGCTACTATTACTTTTTAAACTTGTCGAAAGTAAATGTTCTTTATCGTTGGGTGCCGAATTCGAAATGGCCTTGGGTGTGGCAACAATGTTCGAAGATGAAAATCCATTTGTTTTTGTTTGTAAGCCATCATCAGCGGTATTATCTTTAAGTTTGGAAGTTTCTGCCTGTTGTTGACCTTTGTTTAATGATTGGGTTGATGCCAGGGATGCAGAAGAAGAGGATGATGTAGAGGAATTTGAGCTGGCTATTGATTTATTGTTGTTGTTGTTGTTGTGATGTTTCTCAAAGCCATTTAATTTTTTAAGAGATAGTGGAGATTTAGATTTTATATCCTTGCCATGACCATTGGTATGTAAATAATTTGTGGCATTGTTGTTGGCATTGATATTTTCATGAGCATTATCTGCCGAATGATTGCAGGGGTCTGTTTTGATTTCCTCATCCAATTTACAATCCTCATCCATGGTGAAAATTTCATTATTTTCTTCCGGTGTGATATCTTTATTATCGGCCATAGCTTCAGTTAGATCGTTGCAGTCGTGTATAACCTCAGCATCTGCATAATCCAAAAGTTCCTCCAAAGCATCCAAATTAGAGGCGATTACTGTTTCTTCCAATGTTGTGGGGATTTCAGTAAATTCTGCAATTGAAAAAAAACAAAGAGATTAATAGGGATTTCATATGAAGAATGAAGACCTGCGGTCTCTATACAACCCAATTGGTCTTTATAAAGACCTGTGGTCTCTATACAGCCCAATTGGTCTTTATAAAGACCTGTGGTCTCTATACAGCCCAACTGGTCTTTATAAAGACCTTTAGTCTCCATGCAGCCCGAATGGTCGTTATAAAGAACATAGGTCTCTATACAGCCCGATTGGTCGTTATAAAGTACAGGGGTCTCTACACAGACCAATTGGTCTTTATAAAGACCTATGGTCTCTATACAGACCAATTGGGTTTTACAAAGACCTTTGGTCCCTACACATACCAAGGGTCTCTATACAGACCAATTGGTCTTTATAAAGACCAGGGGTCTCTATACAGACCAATTGGTCTTTATAAAGACCAGGGGTCTCTATACAGACCAATTGGTCTTTATAAAGACCAGGGGTCTCTATACAGACCAATTGGTCTTTATAAAGACCAGGGGTCTCTATACAGACCAATTGGTCTTTAAAAAGACCTGTGGTCTCTCTATGTACTAATTGATCCTTATAAAATATTTAATCTCTGTGTTAGACTCACCCTTTTCATCCTTTGCCGTAGACGCCGCAGTCGATGGTTTATTGCTCTGTATCTCAGGACTAAGATGTTTTTCCACAACAACATCAATTTTCTCTTCCTTGGTACTCACTTCAGAAGGTTTGTCCACATTCGTTTCCGATTTAAGAGTCTCCTTGGATTTACTTAAAACTGATTGGACATTTGAGCATTGTGCCGTCGTTGTTGGTGGCGGTGCTATACGTGATACCCAATGATCACTGGAATTTGAACTGGAACCCGAACATTCAGCATTTTCAGATGTTCTCCGTTGATAGAACAACATATAAGCCTCATTATTAATGATTTCTTCGGGCATATTTTCATTGGGTACTTTGGTGACCCGTTGATCATCAAATTTATACCATTGACGATCATAGGGATTTTTACAAGCGGCAGTATAATGACCCGTTTCCAGTGTATCACCCTGATGATAACAGACTGCATAGAGGTCATAACGAGTTTCACGATTATCACGAGAACTCAATGTGGAAGACCGTGAATCTCCCGGCTTTGATTTACGCCAAGGACTTGGACGGGTTTGATGCTGTTGTGCTGCTGAACTAGCCGATAATGTTGCGGCTGTGGTTTCATGCACCTCTTTGGCTAAATGTGGTGACATATCAAAGGAATGCAATGGAAACTTAACCATGGTGGTTAGCTTGGCGGCATTTTGGCCCTTGCCATGATGTTGGCGGAAGCGTTTGAAATGTACAACTAATATATCAGGTAATGACCATAAACCTAATGTCTTCACAACCGGTAAATACTCCTGACAGTGGGGACAACGCCAGGCATCTTCAGCACTCAAGGTTTCAGCTTTGGTATAATGTTCCAGACATTGTTCCAAAGTTAGGGTGGCGGTGTCATTTGTTTTATTTGCCAATAGGCGGGGTACACTTTCATGTTCAACCACATGATCAGAGAGGTCGGAAAAATAAGCCTCTGGTTCTGGCCACTCGAGTAGTAATTTAATGTGCGGTGGACCAGCTTCAGCTGATAACACGGACAAAGCCAAGTCAATCATTTCCGTTAGTAGGGGATGTTCAACCTGCTCAATGAAGGTGTCAGGATCTGCCGAAGGATCTTGTAAACGTATTTGAAACATTTCTTTCAAGGGAGTTGAATAGGAAAATACTTCGGGTTTTAAAATGGCTGCCATTTCCTTCAACAGCTTCTTCTGCAATTCGGCATATGAACAATCACGTGGTATTTGTAAACAAAATGGAGCACCAAAACGTTCCAAGCTAACCACATCCTCCTTTGAGGGGTCTTCATTTTTCAACTTGGTTTTCTTGACATTTGCCACCAACACCAACAGATTTGCTGATTGTGGATTATTGGCAGTTGTTGTTGTTGAGGTTGCAGTTGTAGAATTGCCACCACCACCAGGAGCGTTGGTATTTGTTGTTGCCTCATTATTGCTTTTATTGGTTATTTCCTCCTTTTCCAATGGCACCTCTATACAATAAATTGTCTCAATACCATCCAAGGTGTTAACCGGCTGTGAATCATAAAACACACGCATAAATCCTTCCTTTTGCAAATCGACCAAGACCATTTGTTCCGTTCGTATTCCCGTATCTTTATGCAGTTGTTCCCTTAAGGCCACAATTGGTGAACCGGCAGTTACGGTTAGACCCATACGCATTTGCCTTGGCTGCTTTTGCAGATAGACAACGGTGGCAAAGATTGTCTGTTGTGTCAGCTGTGGCAGTTGTACCGATATGCAATGGAATGGATCGAATGTATTCGATTGTTTTTTACATCGCGGACAGGTGAGAGATGAACGAAATTGTGCTTGGAATACGGCTTGAACAAAGGAGTTGTTGCAGCGTATATGATTGGCTAATGTTTCGGCGGCAATAATTTCATCTGGACGGCCATAATTGTTCTGTGATAAAAGAGACATGAAATAAATTAGTTAATATATAGATAGGATTAATTAAACAAAAATTAAAGCATACTTTTAGGCGCAAACAAAATTTATGGAAAAACAATAATAATTCTTTATATTGAAAGCTAATAAATTGGTGTGAACATAAACCAATTGGTTTGTATAGAAACACCTGGTCTTTATACAAAAAAATTGGTCTGTATAGAGACCCCTGGTCGTTATAAAGACCGTAGGTATTTATATAGACCAATTGGTCTGTATGGATACCATTGGTCTTTATATAGACTAATTGGTCTGTATAGAGACCATAGGTCTTTATATGGACCAATTGGTCTGCATAGCGATCATATCTTTTTTATAAATACCAATTGGTCCGCATAGAGATTATGGGTCTTTATAAATACCAATTTCCAAAAATTCCCCATACTCTTCGAACAAAACTTGGCACAACCAATCTCCTCCCCATTGATGAAACGTAAAAACTTTGTGTCATATCAAATACATGTCCGTAAAGTATCACCATTTTATCTTGAAAACACAGACACACCAAATTATCGCGAACAAATTTGCTTTTGTTATTATTTTGCGCACAATAAAAAACAAAAAAAACCTTACGTAAATTTATTTATTTTGATTGTTGTTGTTGCTATTTTTGTAAAATTCTGTGATATGGTCTGTAAATATATATTTTATTTTTACATTTACTTAATAAAAGATAAGATAGCGATATAAAAGACGCCAAATTTTTAAGTACCCCTACGAAGTATTACAAGTGAGACCCATTTTATTTGTACAAAATTATTGGAAAACTACAAAAACCCCTGATGTTATTATATAATATTATTGACTATGATTACATTATCATGTAAGCTGTTTTGATATCGGCGTGTAATATAGCCGACAAACGGACAACTTGAGGTGCTACAGGTGGTGAATTACTCAACGGAAATGTCTGGAGAATTAATAATGGTGATCAAGGTGTTTAAATAATTCTGTAATTTGAAAAAATTGCATATTGATGTAAACAGAAGAGAAGTAGATGTGTAAATATTGCAACTAATTAAAATAAAGGTTTACTTTGTCATCCAAGCTAGCCCCGATTAAATTAATTTTGTGGGGCTCACTGCGCTTTTTTATTCTCAAAGAAATAATCTATAAAAAATCACGAAACTTAGCATACATCATTCTAAAAGTAAATCAGTACGCTATTCTAAATTTCGTGCAAATTGGAATAAATATAGGGTGTTTGGTTATATCTATATCTAATCTGAACCGATTTTCAATAGGGTTCGTCCTTGGGCCAAAGACCATTCAAATATTATTTTAAACCAGTGAGCGGAGCAGTACAGTTGGACGGGGCCTATTCCGAACCTTAACAATATTTCGTGATAGTGGCAGCCTTTTGTCCAAATAGAGGTCACCAGCACCTCTTCCTTACACTGACATATTTTTCGAATATTGCTAATATTCAGTACAGTCCTTCTAATTATTTGTCCATATTCCCTTCATCGTGGGGTTGTGTTGTGATGTTCGGCTTATAATTGTGGCCTATAGATCCACTCTAAAAATACAAAAATAAATTTTCGGTCGACTTCATCCCAATTATTATTATTTGATCATCACCGAAAATTATAGGGGTTGTCCTTGGCGGTAACTGGAACCTCATGGAAAATTTCAAAGCGATCAGCGCGACATTTCCGCCCTCTAGTGGGCTAATAGTAATACTAAACAATATCATAACACATAGACTCCTTTAAATATTTACGTATAACTCCCACTTCCGAGTACATACAACAATATAATTGGTATCAATTTAAAGGTCAACAACTCCTATTGGATACTCCTCTTGTCTATGCCATTCAGGAGTATATGGTAATTTGTAATTTTTCACACAAAAGTCAGTGTTCTGGCCAAAGAAACCCCTTTATATTCAGAACCTCACACATTTTATTTTGGATGGGATCTGATCAAGTTTTTAGAAAAGCTGTTTTGATGATGATCTGTCAATGTTTTGAGGGTGAAATCAACAAAAACCCTAAAGTGACCTAATTTTTATTTTATAGTGTAAATATTCACCTCGGGAAAATAAGATTTGGAAAATATGCCAGAGTTAGAAGTTGTTGTTGTTGTTGTAACAGCCATATTGCTTTTACATTATGGGCTGAGGTGACAGACGTTGGCCGAGTATAACTCGGGTCGTTTCGGATCGTAGACCCCTCTGTCGTGGAAACGAGAGTTAGAAGTGAAGCTGTTGACCTACAATCGGTCAGAGGGTGCAAATATCGCGAAATATTGACAGTCTCAGAATATAGAACCGCAGAAAGTTAGATTTTCGTGGTTGTTGTGTAGGGTATCATATGGTCGGCCCCGTCCGACTATACTGTTACTCTTACTGGTTAAAAGAATATTCATTTCATATTATTCAGGGGCTAACAAGGCTCGAATAAAAAAGCAATATTTTTTAGGGACCAAGAATGCGTCGATTGTTTTAAGAATATTTTCTTCAAGGACCAATTGTCAGTTGTCTATTTTTTCTGAAATATTTTTAAAGGGCCAATAAAATGTGATTTTTTTAAAGAATATTCTTTCATAAGTCCCGCTTAATTTTAGCAATGTTAATTATTTTTAAATATTATTTAAACATTGATGACTCAAAAAAAAGTCAGGGTCCATTTGACCCCCTAAACATTGACCGATCTTTATCAAAAACGGGCATGCTTATTCTTTGGACCAATCCCCTTCTCGCGATGTTCGGATCATAATTCTTTCATAAGTCCCGCTTAATTTTAGCAATCTTAATTATTTTTAAATATTATTTAAACATTGATGACTCAAAAAAAAGTCAGGGTCCATTTGACCCCCTAAACATTGACCGATCTTTATCAAAAACGGGCATGCTTATTCTTTGGACCAATCCCCTTCTCGCGATGTTCGGATCATAATTCTTTCATAAGTCCCGCTTAATTTTAGCAATCTTAATTATTTTTAAATATTATTTAAACATTGATGACTCAAAAAAAAGTCAGGGTCCATTTGACCCCCTAAACATTGACCGATCTTTATCAAAAACGAGCATGCTTATTCTTTGGACCAATCCCCTTCTCACGATGTTCGGATCATAATTATGGCCTTTGGAGCGATCAGAAAATCAGACAAACATAAAGTTGTTGGTCCATTTCATCCCCAAAATATTGACCGATATTTACCAAAAAACAGTCGAGGTCTTCTTTGGCCAGAACCCATTCTACATGCAAAATTTGGCCTGTAACGTGTTTAAAAATTATAATGGAAAGGCGGACAGACAGACGGACGGTCGAAATTTGACGATCAGTATACCTAAAGTGGATCTATGACCAATATTTCGCGGCGTAACAAACTCTAAGGCCACACAAAGCTATAATACCCGGACAGCAATGATGGGCAGCAGTCTCGAGGACATTTGTCAATATAAACCATAATAATATTGTCAAGATAAGAAGCCATAATATTTTTTTTGTGCCCATTAATTGTGATAACAATTTAAAACACTTGAAATGCATTTTTATCAGAAAGAAGGAAAGAAAAAGAAATGTCTCAGGTATTTGCATTGTCCAGAGATGGTATATGTTATATTTAACTTTTGGTTATCAAATGCCAATAATAATTAGAAATAATAATAATAACCAACAAAGACGACAACAACAATAGAGGAGATAATAGAACTCGTGTTGCCATTAATCTTTCAAACAATTAACGCGCCATGTGTCGTAACAAAAACAACAAGGCAGGAAAAAAATAAACAAAACGTTGCAAATTATAACAGCTTAGGGGCTTTTCTTATAACAAGTACCCACACGAGGCAGGAGGATAAATTAAACTTGCATCTCAAAAATTTGCAAGTTTTCAAATATATAAGCTGTGTGTGTGTGTGTGAGGGCACACTGCTATCATTGAATATGGGTGCTAATGAAAACGTTTAGATATCATTTCAATGATGATATATTTTGTGTGTTTGCTTTTCGCCTGACACTGATATGGCAAATCTGTCACACTTATATCAGTAATCAGTGGTGAAATGTGTTGCCTCTTTTAGTTTCTCTAATGGCCTTTTTATGTATAAACATGACATCGCTAGTTGGCATTTATCATCAAAATGAGGCGAGAAAAAACAAACAGGCAGATAGACATACAATCGCACATACATAGAACCCAGAATTCCTACCAAACCTACCTTGACACTTTTATAGCGACGTTTTGTGGCGGTATTTAAATCTTCATGGACTTTGTCTAATAACCAAAATAGAAATTCTTGAGCATCATGTTGGGTTGAGCTGCGAAATTGTGAGCCATAACGATCGACCACGGCCTGAAAAGGAACAAGAACAAAATTAATGTCTATGAATTTGAGATTATTTGTATGGGAACCCACCTTAAAACTCGTACTGTGATCACTTTCATTTTTACACATCCACAAGGCTTTCAAAACATTGGCCAGCTGTTCGGTTAGCTCACCTTTGGTACCAAATTTACGGGAATTGATTTTATTGCGACGTTTCAAATCAGCCTGGAGCGAGAAAAAAATAAAAATTAATTAATTAAAATTTCATAATTTGGAAATTTCAAAACGGAGTAATTAATTTAAGGAAAAAATCTAAAAGGGTTTTTGAAGGACTCAAAAAGCTATAAGCTTGGATTTTTATACCCAACACAACTATGTTGTCAGGACAGCCCAAAGGATTTGTAGCGAAGAGAAATATTAGTCCTAGACCCACCTTTAAATATACCGATCGTCAAATCTCGACTAGCTGAGTCGATCTAGACATGTGTGTCCGTCCGTCTGTAGATTATAATTTGTTAACACGATTCAGGTCAAAGTAATGGACAAATGTAGGACGGGTTCTGGCCAAAGACAACCCCTATTGTTTTTGGTACTGATGCGTTAATATTTAGGGAATAAAATGGACCAACAATTTTTGTCTGTTTTTCTGGTCGCTCTAGAGGCCACAATTACAGCCCGAATACCACGAAATTTTCCACCAGGAAGGGAATCTGACCAAAGAATGAGATCGTTCAATATTTAGTGGTTCAAATGGACCCGGACCTTTGTGTGAAAAATTACAAACATTTCTATTCTACGGCGAATGTATTTACTCCTGAAGAATATCGACCCGAGAAGTTGATAGTAAGAGGAGTCATTGACCTTTAAATTGTTACCTATTATATGGGTGTATGTAGTCGTATAAGGGAGTTATACGTAAATATTTAAAAGGGGTGTCTATGTGTTATGATATTATTTAGTGTTACCATTACCCCACTAGAGGGCGGAAATGCCGCGCCAATCGCTTTGAAATTTTATATGAAATTACGGTTATGGTCAAGGACGACGCCTGTAAATTTCGGTAATGTTGAGATGATATTTAGGCGGTGCAATGAATTGAAAACTTTATTTCTATCAGATTTTCTAGTCGCTCTAGTGGCCATTATTATATGCAGAACGTTACATATTTAACACTTTGAAGGGGATCTGACCAAATACTTAGAACGACCAAAACCCTAAAGTGACCAAATTTTTATTTGATGGCGTAAATATTCCCCTGGGGAAACCAAGATTTGGAAAATATGCCAAGGTTGAAAATGAAGCTGTTGACTATAATCGGTCATGAGGGTGAAAATATTGCGAAATATTGCCAGGCTCAGAACATTGAACCGCATAAAGTTAGATTTTTTAGGTAGTTGTGTAGGATATAAAATGTTCGGACCGCCCGACTATACTTCTCCGTTCCTGGCTTAAAGAATAATTTTCTGGGACCAATAATGCCTGCATTTAAAAAAAAATATATTTTCCGGGACCAAAAATGCGTCGATTTTTTTAAGAATATTTTCTTCAAGGACAATTTAATTGCCTATTTTCTGAAGAAAAAAAAATTTTTAAAGGGTCAATAAAATGTGAATTTTTAGAGAATATTTTTCATATGTCTCGCAAATTTTTAGCAATGTTAATTATTTTTAAATATTATTTAAACATTGCAGACTGAAAAATTGCACAAATGCCCTTGGTTTCTATATATATAAAAAAAATAATAATAAATATTTCTTGGTTAAATGTCTGCGGTCAGTGGAAACAATTTGCTTTTCAATGTCACCTATTTTTAGGGGTTAATATAATTTCAAATAGAGGATGTGGTTTTATCACATGCAAAACATATTTACAAATCCAATATTACAGGCCAGCCAATCCTTTTAAAAATCGTATCTTAAAAATCAACTCCTATAGTCTACCATGCTATGGTAGAAATATCATAGCGGTCCCTGAGAATTTTCTTCTATTGGAAAAAGGTGTCTTCATGGAACAGAAATTTTTTTCTATACGAAAAAACTGTCCTCAGGGACCAGAGGATTTTTTTTTTCTCTAGGAAAAATTGTCCTCTTCGACCTGACGATATTATTTTCTAGGAAAAAATTTCGTCAGGTCCCTGAGGACACTTTTTTTCTATAGAAAAAAATTCGTCAGGTCCCTGAGGACACTTTTTTTCTATAGAAAAAAATTCGTCAGGTCCCTGAGGACACTTTTTTTCTATAGAAAAAAATTCGTCAGGTCCTGAGGACACTTTTTTTCTATAGAAAAAAATTCGTCAGGTCCCTGAGGACACTTTTTTTCTATAGAAAAAAATTCGTCAGGTCCCTGAGGACACTTTTTTTCTATAGAAAAAAATTCGTCAGGTCCCTGAGGACACTTTTTTTCTATAGAAAAAAATTCGATCCCTGAGATAGAAAAAAATTCGTCAGGTCCCTGAGGACACTTTTTTTCTATAGAAAAAAATTCGTCAGGTCCCTGAGGACACTTTTTTTCTATAGAAAAAAATTCGTCAGGTCCCTGAGGACACTTTTTTCTATAGAAAAAAATTCGTCAGGTCCCTGAGGACACTTTTTTTCTATAGAAAAAAATTCGTCAGGAGACGTTTTTCTATTGAAAAAAATCGTCAGTCCCCAAGGACAATTTTTTTTATAGCAAACAGGCCCCTGATGACAGTTTTTTCTACAGAATAATTATATATTTTTTCTATAGAACTGAGGATTTTTATGTAATGAAAAAAGTATCCTCAGTGAACTGAGGTTTTTTTTCTATAGAAAAAAATTATCCTCAGGGACCTGACGAATTTTTTTCTATAGAAAAAAATTATCCTCAGGGACCTGACGAATTGAAAAAAGTATCCTGACGAATTGAAAAAAGTTTCTATAGAAAAAAAGTATCTTGAGGGACCTGACGATTTTTTTTATCTATAGATGTATTTTTCTATAGAAAAGAAGTATCCCCAGGGACCTGATGAAAATTATTCTATAGAAAAAAGTGTCCTCAGTGAAATGAGGAATTTTTTCGTATAGAAAAAAGTATCCTCAGTGAACTGAGGAGTTTTTCCTAGGAGAAAAAGTGGCCTTAGTGAACTGAGGAATTTTTTTCTATAGGAAAAAATTGTCTTCAGGGACCTGACGATTTTTTTCTATTGAAAAAAGTATCCTCAGGGACCTGAGGATTTTTTTCTATAGAAAAGAAGTATCCCCAGAGACCTGATGAAAATTATTCTATAGAAAAAAGTGTCCTCAGTGAAATGAGGAATTTTTTCGTATAGAAAAAAGTATTCTCAGTGAACTGAGGAAATTTTTTCTAGTAGAAAAAAGTGTCTTGGGGGACATGACGAATTTTTTTAATAGGAAAAAATTGTCTTCAGGGACCTGACGATTTTTTTCTATTGAAAAAAGTATCCTCAGGGACCTGAGGATTTTTTTCTATAGAAAAGAAGTATCCCCAGAGACCTGATGAAAATTATTCTATAGAAAAAAGTGTCCTCAGTGAAATGAGGAATTTTTTCGTATAGAAAAAAGTATTCTCAGTGAACTGAGGAAATTTTTTCTAGTAGAAAAAAGTGTCTTGGGGGACATGACGAATTTTTTTAATAGGAAAAAATTGTCTTCAGGGACCTAACGATTTTTTTCTATTGAAAAAAGGCATCCTCAGGGACCTGAGGATTTTTTTCTATTGAAAAAAGTATCCTTATGGACCTGTAGAATTTTTTCCTCTGGAAGATTTTATCATACCCCCAATCTTCTTATAAAATCATTTTTTAATACAATTTTTTTGTGCTTTTTTATAATTATCCCCATTTTTATCAATCCATTATTTTTGTTATTGTTTTTCATAATTACCTTATATTGATCCAAAACAAAATATTCCGCCAGTATATCGGTGTGGCTAAGGCATTGTAAGACGGCATTCATAAAACAGGTATTGCCATGATTTTTTAGACCCATAACACCAGGTGTTTGATCCGTTGGCCATTGATAGCCACCGATGGGCGGTACACGATCGCCGCTCGATGATATTAGATGACTACCACCATTGGCAGCTGTGGCCGTTGTTGTTTGTGGTTTATTCGACTGTAGAGAAGAAGAAGAGGAAGGAAAGAAAATTAGACCAGAAATAGAGATTTAGATGTAGTTGTTGTTATTTTATTTAATAAAAAAATGACTCAAAAGCGCTTAGCCAACCAGTAATAATTATAGAGCAGAAGCAATATTTATTACAAGAAAACAAAAACCAAAACATACATTCATACATATCTTTTTGTTTAATCATCAGCAACAACAGCAGCAATATTTAAGGCCGAAATAATGCAATCAAAAATGATTATTTCATAGTAATTTAAAATGTGTGTGTGTTTTTTTATGAACAACAACTACAAGAAAACCATAATAGCCGGAAAATAACAATTTCTAATGGTTGTTGTTGTAATTTCAAGTCGAAAAAACTTAAAGGAAAGAAAAAAGCAAAAGTACATTTTTTGTAGTTGTTTCATTTGACTGCCTGACATTTAAACGAAATGAATGAACAAATCAAACTGGGAAAAAATCCCATTGAAAATTTTGTAACTAAAAAAGCAACAGCAGCAACATGAAATCGTTAGCCTAATCAATTTTTCATCATTTGGAAAATTGCAAAGAAGAAAATGCGGAAAAACATATGGAATGTGTAGCTCAAATGCCAAAGGACTTAATTTGAAAATATTTTACGAAAACTCTCTTCGAGGAATGGTCCCCATGTTGCATATCCCACAATTCAATATTTAGCAAGTTTGTCTTTAAAATTTGTTAGTTAGTCTCTTTTGTAATTTATCTGCCCATATGTATGTGTATAGCATGAACAAATTTAACAAGTCAATGGGTCAAACCTGCAAAGCAGCATGTTGTAATTTTTAACAGAAATCAAAGCAATAGCCCTTTTAATGATTCCAACAAGAACTCATTGACAAAAAACAAAAGGTAGCGACTAACAAACCAAAATGTCGGAACTTTGTAGTTTGGAAATGAATACATCATCGTTGGATAATCAGGGGCCAAAGGAGAAAACCTTTAACTAAATAAATTAATAAAAAAAGAAAACAGGAAATTGTTCTCAGGGACCTGACGAATTTTTTTCTATAAAAAAAATGTCCTCAGGAACCTGACGATTTTTGTCTAAAGAAAAAATTGTCCTCTGGAACAATAGAAAAAATTCGTCAGGCCCCTGAGGACAATTTTTTCTATAGAACAAATTTCGTCAGGACTCTGAGGACATTTTTTTCTATAGAAAAAAATTCGTCAGGCCCCTGAGGACAATTTTTTCTATAGAAAACAAATTCATCAGGACTCTGAGGACATTTTTTTCTATAGAAAAAAATTCGTCAGGCCCCTGAGGACAATTTTTTCTATAGAAAAAAATTCGTCAGGCCTCTGAGGATATTTTTTCTATAGAAAAAAATTCGTCAGGCCCCTGAGGACAATTTTTTCTATAGAAAAAAATTCCTCAGTTCCCTGAGGACACTTTTTTCTATAGAAAAAAATTCCTCAGTTCCCTGAGGACACTTTTTTCTATAGAAAAAAATTCCTCAGTTCCCTGAGGACACTTTTTTCTATAGAAAAAAATTCCTCAGTTCACTGAGGATACCTTTTTTCTATAGAAAAAAATTCCTCAGTTCACTGAGGATACCTTTTTTCTATAGAAAAAAATTCCTCAGTTCACTGAGGATACCTTTTTTCTATAGAAAAAAATTCCTCAGTTCACTGAGGATACCTTTTTTCTATAGAAAAAAATTCCTCAGTTCACTGAGGATACCTTTTTTCTATAGAAAAAAATTCCTCAGTTCACTGAGGATACCTTTTTTCTATAGAAAAAAATTCCTCAGTTCACTGAGGATACCTTTTTTCTATAGAAAAAAATTTCCTCAGTTCGCTGAGGACACTTTTTTCTATAGAAAAAAATTCCTCAGTACCCTGAGGATACCTTTTTTCTATAGAAAAAATTCCTCAGTACCCTGAGGATACCTTTTTTCTATAGAAAAAATCCTCAGTTCACTGAGAATACTTTTTTCTATACAATTTTTTTTTTTTTTGGATTATTTGATTATGGTTTTGGTTTTTGCCCTCCCTCAAATATTAATTGAAAATCGAATAAATCATTTTGACCCCAAACGTGATTGCCAATCGATAATTTATATTGTAATTTAAAACCAATGCGTAAATAAATCCTAGATAAACTTAAGAAGAATAATCGTCTATTTACCCAAAAAGAGAGAACAGAACACTCCTCCTTTTCCTGTAGACCTCATTCATGATTTGAAAAAAAGAAAAAATAATTTCAAAACACAAACAAAAATACGCCCAAAAATTTGCTAGCAAAAGTAGAAGCAAGAAATTGTGTATGTGTGGGAGACAGTGTGTGTGTGTGTGTGCTAGTTAATGCTTTCTTGTTATTTTGCAAACAATGACCCGGCAAAATTTTGCGGGTAAGTGCGCGTGGGCGTTTTTAAGCCTACCATGGTGGAATACAAAAAAAGGGAAAAGGGAAAAATAATAACAACAAGAAAATAGCAAAAACAACAAAATAGCAAATATTGTGGTAAGGGTTTGAAATTTAATTCGAGGCATAGAAGAAAATAAAAAAAAAAAAACAACAAACGTTTTAGAAAAAAATGTTTATTTGGGTGTGAAATGATAAAGAATAATAGATATTAGGGTGGAATGTCAGTAATAAAAAAATATTTAATTTCATATTTTTTTCTAGATTTTTGTAAACATATGAAAAAATGTTTTTTGTCGATACACCCTAATATTAATTAACATGAGCATAATATAAACAACTGGGTAAATTGATATAGTTTTCTTTGCAAATAAGCTTAGCACACACGGCTGGCTACATGCAAAACAAAAGTTTTGAAAATAATAACAACATAATCAGAGGAGCAGGGAAGAGCATAAAACCAGCGAACAAAGGTGACTGCCTCCCTAAAAATGTGAAATGATCACAAAAATTAATTTTAAATATTTATGGAAAATTTCAGGCACAACTTTTTATTGTTATTATTAATAATTATTTAATACAAAAATAACGATACCTTTTTTCTACGCCAGCATCCGGTATAGAAAGGCACTATTTCAATTAAATTGGCCTTCTCTGGCATGGAAGACTTTAAAATTCATTTTTGAGGCATGTAATTGGAAGGGGAAGAAAACAAGAAGACAGAAGAAGAAGATATTTTTTATTATTATTTATTTTTCAATTAATAACATCGTCATCAACAGCCAAATGATAGCAATTGAATTGTTTTGCCGGAGATGTCAATGGGAGACAAGAGTGAAATACTTTTTCTTAGAATTGTTGTTGTTTGGTGTTAGTGTGATACAATTCTAAATTGATATGAACTAATCAATAATTGAATAAATGGGCAATTTTCGTTACGGGAAATAAAGAGGAATTTTGTTTCTTAAGGAAAAAAATTCCTCAGGTCCCTGAAGACACTTTTTTCCATAGGAAAAAATCCTTCGGCCCCTGAGGACATTATTTTCTATGGAAAAAAAATCCTCAAGTCACTGAGGAAATCCCTCAGTTCACTGAGGACACTTTTTTCTACAGGAAAAAATTCCTCAGGTCCCTGAAGACATTTTTTTATAGAAACAAATTCATCAGGTCCGTGAGGACACTTTTTTTTCAGAAAAAAATACAAAAAAACTCGTCATTGAGGACACTTTTTCCAATAGAAAAAAAATCGTGTGGTGCCTGAGGAAATTTTTTCTTAGAAAAAGAAAATCCTCAGGTCCCTGAAGCCAATTTTTTTATAGGAAAAAAATTCCTCAGGTCCCTGAAGACATTTTTTACATAAAAAACATTCATCAGGTTCGTGAGGACAGTGTCCTCACGGACCTGACGAATTTTGTTCTATAGAAAAAAAGTGTCATCATGGACCTGGCGAATTTTTTTCTATAGAAAAAAAATCGTCAGGTCCGTGAGGACCCTTTTTTTCTATAGAAAAAAAATCGTCAGGACCGTGAGGACCCTTTTTTTCTATAGAAAAAAATCGTCAGGTCCGTGAGGACCCTTTTTTTCTATAGAAAAAAAAATCCTCAGGTCCGTGAGGACCCTTTTTTTCTATAGAAAAAAAATCCTCAGGTCCGTGAGGACCCTTTTTTCTATAGAAAAAAAATCGTCAGGTCCGTGAGGACCCTTTTTTTTCTATTGAAAAAAAATCGTCAGGTCCGTGAGGACCCTTTTTTTCTATTGAAAAAAAATCGTCAGGTCCGTGAGGACCCTTTTTTTCTATAGAAAAAAAATCGTCAGGTCCGTGAGGACCCTTTTTTTCTATAGAAAAAAAATCGTCCTACGGACCCAGCGAATTTTTTCTATAGGAAAAAATCGTCAGGTCCCTGAGAAAATTTTTTTCTATAGGAAAACCAATCGTCAGGTCCCTGAGGACATTTTTTCTATAAAAAAATTATCAGGAGGACATTTTTTCTATAGAAAAAAAATTCGTCATTTCTCTAAGGACACATTTTCTATAGAAAAAAAATTATCAATTCGCTGAGGACCTTTTTTTCTATAGAAAAAAAAATTATCAATACGCTGAGGACAGTTTTTTCTATAGAAAAACATTTATCAATTCGATGAGGATAATTTTTTTCTATAGAAAAAAATCCTCAGATCGCTGAGGATACTTTTTTCTATAGAAAAAAATTCCTCAGTTCGCTGAGGATACTTTTTTCTATAGAAAAAAATTCCTCAGTTCGCTGAGGATACTTTTTTCTATAGAAAAAAATTCCTCAGTTCGCTGAGGATACTTTTTTCTATAGAAAAAAATTCCTCAGTTCGCTAAGGACACTTTTTTCTGTAGAAAAAAAAATTCCTCAGTTCGCTGAGGTTACATTTTTCTATATAAGAAATTCTTCAGTTCGCTGAGGATACTTTCATCTATAAAAAAATCCTCACTTCTCTGAAGATACCTTTCTATAGAAAAAAATTCGTCAGGTCCGTGAGGACACTTTTTTTCTATAGAAAAAAATTCGTCAGGTCCGTGAGGACACTTTCTTTCTATAGAAACGAATTCGTCATTTCTCTGATCACACTTTTT